TGGCGGGGCTCGAACCTCGGACCATCGGGCCCAAAGCACGCCAAAGACAGCCACTAAACCACTACGCCACCAACACCACCACCCTACAATTACTCCGCCGATTGTCATATTCTCGTATTTCAAGAAAGGCCATGTTATCCGTCAATTATATCGGTTGTTAGGCATTGTTTACTGTATGATGACAGCATCGAGCTCGAATAGTTCATAAATGGGACGCAATCGCTCAGATAAGCGCGCTGTCATGATCAGCCAGCTCAGATCAGACAAAAATCACATTGAACATGTGTGTCACCGAGATAGTTTTGTTCGGAGTGAATAGCCTGGCTCACTCACACTGGTGCATGCAATGATATACGCCAATGTGCACACGGACGGGGTATCTTAAAATGTATTCGAAGGCTTTCAAGTGAACTTGGTGGGATCAAAAGTGTGATCAGAAACGTTGTAAAATTTCGGCGCTCATTGCAGAACTCGTCCCCAGATGGCCCATGATCATTAACCGAGTGAAACCTCAGTTTCATTCTGCTGATAAAGAACGAGGTCCAGACCACTGGACACACGTTGACATCTGTTGATAAGAGCATTTGAGTGGGCCAATAAGTGAAAATGAACAAATTCGACCGCGTTTTGATTTGACATCAGGAATACAGTTATTGGCGTCAGTCCACGAGCAAATCAAATTATTATTTCCAACAACAACAACAATAGATGTTCCTATTGAGAGAGAGGGAAAACCACTAACCAGTATTGATTTGCATTCCGGTTTGATGAATGCAATTTTGGCGCCCGGAGAGACAAACAGTTTCTTCCTTCAGTGAGGAAAAAATGCCATCAAAACGGATCGGGTGATCTTTCTACTGCTTTTTTTACTAACTACGCCCACGACCAAATACGATGTCTGAGTTAAAGACAGTTCACTGGATATTGAAACTTGAGCAAAATAAAATCTTGTTTTAAAACTGGTTGAACAAATTGGTTGTCTCGATTAAATAGAAACTATTTTGGAAGCAATTTGTGGAGGGTTTCAATCTTTTGAATTTCACATCGCATTGTTTTTTCAAGGTCCAAGGACTGTTGTCTCAGCTGACAACATTATTTCCCGACCAGTTGGCCGAGTCGAACTCTACGGATGACTCACTGGCTAACGTGTCATCGAATTGTGGACCTACTGGGATTTCGGGCAACTCGAATGCGACAAATAGCATTTCCACAAATCAGAACAAGATGCTCACCGCTGCGGACAAAGGAGTCGGATCGGAAAGCACCACGAACACACCGCATATCAATGGATCCGAATCAACTGCCCCGATGGCATGGGATCAGCGAGGACGTGCACTTCTGCACGCTCTATCTGCTTCCGTGGCCACGGCTTCGGCCCGGAATAAACAAAGCACACTGCCGAGAAATACCGAGCCACCCAGTAAGTAATCAGGATACGAGTTTTGGCGACACTCACAAATATTTCAACTATTCATAGCAAACACCAAAGGTCCGTGAAGCTCACGACCTATGTCGACAATGGTGGGTCGTTTGAGTGGTCCTTACACTTATTCAATTCCCTTATAAGATGCAATCTTTCAGGTCAGATTCGGGGAAATAGCATCAAACCAAATAGTGTTGAGAATGATGCGGAACTAACGTACGCTGGACTGCCGTTGTTCAGCTCACTCTCCTTTTCTGCATTTGTTTTGACGCATAGTGTTTACAGTTTCACAAGCAGTTCAAATTGTCCTTTTTTTCCTCGCATCTAAACGTTCGGTTAGCTCATTTTTCTTATGGGATGGAGAATTTTGCGTTTCCATTTTGTTTCCGGGGGGGGGGGGGGTTAAGACTACGATTATATATTTTTAGAAAAGCAGTTGGTTTCATTTTTTAATTTAGGGAAATACAAAGTTCAAGTCCTCCCCCATCGGTAAGCTTACAGGTGACAGATGGATACGGTAAAAAAACGAAGTTACAGCACTATTTTCAATGCCTTCGCGATCACGATTGAGAATCAATAATAACATTCATAGTATTCTTTGGTTAAGGTTAGTGCCTGTCAGAATCCGTGCCCCAGTTACACAATTAAATTATTGGTGTTTTAAATGGTGAACAAAAATTAACTGTGCAGACAAACCTATTCAATGTGATTCATCACTCGGTAACCAAAACGGTAAACTGCTTGCTTTCTATACCTGTAATCATTAGCTTGATCTTAGGGTATGAGATAAACTAGTTTGAAAAGATATTGAGTTGTATTCATGAAAAATTTGCAGTTTTGTATACGCGTATCAACACGCCATGTGACATAAATTAACAGCTGAAAAGTTAGTTATTCGCACACTTCAATGTTGTGCTCCTAACTGCTGTCACCTCAGTAATCATGCTGCATCATCCATTTTGAAATCCTTTCATATGTTCTGCTGGGACAAGATCACCTTTGACTCAGATCTTTCATTAGTTACCCGCTGAAACTGTTCACGGTTCTCAGTCCACCCATCCTCGCTTCGGGGGGACTACTGGTGTACAAATGCAGTTACGTAATCTGTGTAACTCGGACCTGCTAAAGCACTCTGTTCTCAATCCGCTAACTAACCACTAATCTATTTATTGATGCTTTTCTGGTATACATATCAGGAAACATGTTTCGACTACTTTTGTCAGTCGTTCTTATCGCATTTCACGTGTCTTCTTTTTCTTAAAAATTGTATTTAAAGAAACATATCTCTTTTCTTAACCGTAGGAATGGTTATAATGTTACCCTTGAAATCTACTACGACGAACATATGGTCAAAGTACGTAATGGATAGTCGGTCTGCAGTTGAAATTTACCACCGGAGAGCAATCCGGGTCTCATGTAATCAAGAGATCATTTTGGTGACAATATTTGTGATTCAAAACCTGACCGAACAAGCGGCAGTAAATGATCAGCAGCAGTCCAACTGACTACTCGCTCACTGGGGAGCCTAGCCAGAAAAATCTTTATGATAAACATCTCGAAGATGCTGATGAAAGCCTTATGAACACAATTAGAGTCAGGCTTCGATTGGAACCCATTCCAACGTCTTCTCTCGACCACCTTGCTGCCAGCTATCACTTGCACTGATCCATTCAAAACTGCCTCTGTCACTAGTCACCAACCGTAGATAAAACCCGTGCGCGTTACGAGCCGGATTCTGTCTACGCCTGATAAACAACGATCCAACGAGTGTTGGAGTCAACCAGTCATCGTCGGTCTCGGACTTGGTGTTGACAAACAATTAATTGAAGATGGAAACAGTTTTAACTACAACCGTATTAGGACTCATTGACCATGCTGCAATATTATTTGACCCACGTTCACTACAAACCTTTTCCGCAAATTTCTAAGGCTAACTTTCGTACGTTTATTGCATACACCAAACTTAGCATTTCGGAGCAAGAACTCAAATGGGTTTTCCTCAACGAATAATGTAATTTCCTGGGATCCTGGCAAAAGCTCACGAATCAAGTCTCACAGACATGGGGAAGGTCGGGATAAAGGTCAAAGACATCGCTCACCCAACTGGTCCGAAATCACTGATTTGCAAACAAACAAATAAGTGAAGTTCGTAGAGTAATATCACACGAAGTGTTTAAATAATTCTTTTGTAACAACACACACGGCATGCCTACTCTCTGTTGCGGAACCACTGCACCAAGTTAGTTTGGAGAGACAAGTTGATTTGCTAAGTAAAGCTGATGCGCAAGTTTATATTTAATCCGAAGCTGTTGTAAAAACACACAAATGTCTCCAGAAAAGTCAGGTCTGGCGTTCCACCGCTAAGATTGGCAGGACATGTTTCAGCTACAGTAAAAGAGGCAGTGAACTGCCAAAAATTCAATTCGCTCAAATGTTCACGGCAGCTGTTAACATCGGGCTACGCCTGCATATTTTACTCAAGGACACCACATCCAACGCTAACCACAATTGATTTCCCGCAGAATTCATAGCGGCAAAAAGGAATTAATCTCCAGGGCTATATAACATACATCCACAAACACCTATCAACCTGGAAAGTATCGTAGCTCAACCATTAATCTAACTATTTCAACGTATATTCGACACTACCGTGCTTCCAAAAATATGGAAACATGGAATAATGTTATCTATATACAAAGGCGTCTGTCGTAGTAATCCAGTGAACTACCGCCCCGTCACTCTCCTTGCGCATTGTCAAAAGTTATGGTTTACTATAAACGAGTCTTTGGCAAATTTGAGCCTTTGCTGTTCCCACGTTTACTATCACCCTGCCTTCGACCCCACATAGAGTACGCCATTCAAGCGTGCAATCCAGGGCTGCAACGCGATCGTAAGATTTTGGAACGTACACAAAGTATGGTTAGCAAATTTGTCAAAGGATCCCATCCCAAGACCTATGTGGAAAGATTACAGTCATTGAGGTGGTACCCTATCCAGTGTTGTCGAGTTTGGGGAGACTTGGTTTTATTGTTCCAAATGATGCCTAACCCTGACCGTACATGTCGTTCACTTTTCACTTTGTCGCCCAACGCTATCGATCATAGAATGCAGGCATCAATAGTTACTGTGTAGTATTTTAAATTCCCTACCCATTCGCGTTGGTTTTGCTACCACCGTGGATTAGTTCCAGAACAGACTGCATGAATCATTATCACGCCTTAAATTTCCGACATCCGCAGTAGTACACGAAACAGCGAAGCTTTGTAACACTCCTTATCTCTTTTTGCTCGGTTGGGCAAAACCCCTGTGGGACAAGAAAAGCAACAGCTTGTAAGTATTTACCAGAATAAAACTCTGTGAACTCTATGAACATTAGAAGCTATTCGAATACGTGATTCACCCATCCGTCAAAACAACTATAGGTTGTGGCACGCTATCTGAACACAAAAATGGATTTTTTTCGGTCACTATTACTCGCCTTGTCGGTTGCAGAAACACTGCTCCTGATGCCAAACGTGATATTACAAGTCCCTTAATGGCCCGATCATTATAGGTCTGTGAGGAGGAGCGGGGGAGTGATCGCAAGAGGTCTAGGGTAGTCAAATCCAGAGAGACGAAAATGACTGTGGCGATTGGTGTCAGTCATCAATTTTTGCATTCACGGAAAGTAAGCGTGAGGTAATTGAGTGGTTCGGCGATTCACTGGTTCGTATTCAGTGACGCCGTTCAGAGCGATTGGCAGAACGTATCAATGCACAGTTCAATTGGACTTCATCGAAATCGGAATTGTCAACTTCCGCAATGCAAAATCAGAAACAACTGATTTGGAAGTATATGAGCCTTCTAATTTGAAGTGTCGTATACGCCGCAGTATACCAATGCAATTAGAGATATGAGTTGACCACCGAATATGATCGTTTATAGCTACTCCAAAGTAGTTGACATATTTCACTCCAGATAAACAATTACCATTTCATACTGGGGGTTTCTAGGAAGAGCATCAACACATTTTGGTTACAATGTCAATTGAAACCGGAATAGGAGGAGGTCTGGATTCAAAATGAATTAGCAGTGAAGGAATTTAGGCCAGAGGAAGAACAATTGGGCTGTCACAATCCATGATCATCAGCATAATTCAAAGCAGGTCTACTAGAAGTATGATCTTGCATTAAAATCGATGGACGGCCAGTTTCAGTTTCAGTGTGTTGAGTTTTTAAAAAGACTCAGGTTTTTGTTTCAAATGCATCGATCGATGAATGGAGTGAAATGCTGAATAAAAGTAGGGGAAAAACACACCGAAAGGATTTAACAGAATTCGTATTAGAGTTAGTTATAAAAACAATAAGGATGAAGATTACATCCAAACTGTAGTTGTTGGGTTTGTAAGCAAGTTGTATTGAAACATTGAGAATGTTCACAGATAGCTGCAGGCGTTTGAGAATAGCCTTCTATTTAACTACAGGGTAGCGGATGGTAAGGCCAGCAGACAAAAGTGATTGAAAAAGATAGAAAATTTGGATGCTTTGGGGATCGGTGTGATTGTCATGGACCAGTAACAATCTGGACAAGGAAAAGGACAAAGTGATTCATTCACAATAGAGGTAGCTAGTAGTTCGAAATCAGAAGAGTGCTGGAGGTAAACCACCCGTATCTGCAGCAGTGGAACATTTACTATTATTCCACAGTTTATGTGCATCAGCATTACAAATGTTATCTGACATACAGCCAGGTTTAGTGGTGGACGAGTGGTGAACGAACGAATGCGGTATCGTGAGCGTCAACATCGACCTTCAGCTCTGACCGTATTTTCCTCTTTCCACAGAGAAGCCCGATAGCACAAGTTACTGGGCCTCAGAATCCGATCGGAGAATCTTCTCGCTTTATTTCAACTTTGATCAATCTAAACAAGCCAAAAGATTATGGGACTTGTATACCTGTTCCTTTTCCCGCTACAGGTTTAGCTGTTGGATGTGTGTCTGTGTGGTATCGCTAGACGGTTTTTTTC